ATTAATGAATTCGCTTTGCTTTGGGGCCCAGCCAGTGGTTTGGTGCTCGGGGCTTACTCCTGGCTTTGGAATTGAGAATCACTTCTGCCAGTGCTTGGGGACCATGTGGGGTGCCAGGGATCACACCTGGTTTTGACTTTCTGCAAGCCAAGCAAGTACCTTACCCATGCTGTACTATCTCTTCGGTCCCTAAGAATTCATGTTTTGGGAAATTTGAGTTTGAGGTGCTTATATTTGAGTTACTTTTTGTTGACAGAATTGTCTAGCCATAAATGATTTTTTTGTGACACTTTCATATAATTACGACTTTTTTAAATAAGAGCAGCATTTACTTAAGTAAAAAAAAGTATTACAGTGAAACTCTGGGTGATATGCTAATGATTGGAATTTATAGAACTTGAAAGATAAAATTAAAGGTCTGTAAGTTGTTACTCTAAAACAGAAGGTATTACATATATGCTATCCAGAACCTTAAGTTTGAATCAGGACTAGAGCTTCCTACTGGCATTGAATTTTTTTTAAGTGAAGCAGGATTTTTTTTTTTTGAAAGTAGAAAAGTTTATTGGCAAGTAGAGAAAAAAGTAACTCCCTGTATGGGGAGGAGCTTTGTTCAAGCAGGATAGTTTTATTGAAAGAAATTTACTTAGAGAAATGTGAGGGGGTTGTTATAAGATGATTTTGGAGCAGAGGTGCCCCATTCCTTTTAGGATTCGGTGAGCATAAGCTCCCCTCTTATGTAGAACATGGGTTCATGAACTTTTACCATTCCCCACTTTTTTCTTTCTTTTTTTTTTTTTTTTTTGGCCTGAGACGTGCACCATGGGCCAGCTATTAGAGACACCTCAGATTTGTAATGTTTGATTTTAAATTAAATTTTGGTTGTTGCAGATTCAGAAACCTTTTACTGTTGGCTGTTTTTGTTGTTGTTTGGGGGCCATACCAGCTGTGCTTAGAACTTACGGCTCCATGCTCAGCGATCACTCATGGCAGGGCTTTAGGGACCATAAAGGATACAGAGGGTCAAACAGGGTGGAAGGCTTAACTTTGTGTCCCCTCCCCCCCCCCATTCCATTACAAAAGAGCATAAAGGATTGAGACCCACAGTTTTAAGAAGCTAGGACCCTAATTTTGTTACTACTCTGTACCAGGGCATCCAGTGAGAGGGGCAATAACTATAGAGTCTAGAATCTAGATTCAAATCCCAATCCCAATTTCATCATTTGCACCTGGTGCAGGTTAGACAAATGTGGCTGTAATTAACTTCTCTGGGATTCTTTTCCTTCTTTGTGCAACAGTACATATTTTCTGCTTTAGGAATCAAATAAAAAACTTTACATAAAGTATATATTACAAACCTGCCACAAAATAAGTGCCCGATGTTAGATACCATCCTTTCCCCCCAAAAAAATAGTTGTTTCCACATATTTTTGTCTAGGTTTTGTTGTGATTATCAATTACTCTTCTATAACAGAATAGTTAGGTTTAAGATGAATGGGAGCAGGCCGTGGCTCTCTAACCATATTTGATGATTGGAATTTATGGAATATAGGAACATAACGGTTATCCTGGCTGCCCTTTTTACTATTGATTTGAATTTTCTACTCTGGTAGTAGCCAAATAATCTTAATTGTGTAGTGGTTATAAACTGTGATTGTGGCGATTTTCTCTAGTACTCTATAGATTTTTTCATGGAAGGAAAAAGGAACAAGCCATTAACTTTTTATTTTTTTATTTATTTGTTTTTGTGGTCAAAGCATTATGGCCATCTGATTCCTTTAGGGCAGTCTTTCCCTGGGCCGTACCTGAATTTTATGCCCTTATGTAATGGAATGGGGGGAGGGGAACAAAGTTTAGCCGACATGTTCCAGAAGGATCTGGAACAGTAGGAGTGGGGGATAGTAGCAGCAGGGTCAGTTGAAGGTGCTTCTTGTTTAAAGAAGGTGGGTGGGAGTGGTTGGCGGAGTACTTTTTCTGAAAAAGAGCTAATGGCCAAGTTTGAGAAATCCTGTTTAAGAGCTTAATTTTTTGCATGTGTCTCTTTGAAATGAGAGAAAGCCAGGATTAGGTAGTAGAGCTGTTTAAATGATACTTGTTACTGGTTTTACAAATGAAAACGGGAAGAGTAGGGGTTAAGGACCTAGACTGTAATGCTTGTTACGTGGTGGGAGGATCTGTGCTAAAACCTAGGGTTCCTCATCGTTTTCTTTTTTATTTTTAAATCTTATTGAATCAGACTGGAGCGATAGCACAGTGGGTAGGGCATTGGCCTTGCACACAGCCAAGATGGCCAACCCGAGTTCAATTCCTCCATCCCTCTCAAGAGAGCCTGGCAAGCTACTGGGAGTATTTCGCCTGCACAGCAAAGCCTGGCAAGCTACCCGTGACGTATTCGATATGCCAAAAACAGTAAGAACAAGTCTCACAATTTGTTGTGAGATGTTACTGGTGCCCACTCGAGCAAATCCATGAACGGGAGGACAGTGCTTATTGAATCATCGTGAGGTAGTTACACAATAATCAAACACCCATCCCTCCACCAGTGCACATTTCCCACCATCAATATCCCCAGTATACCCCCCCTTTCCCATCATCCCCCTGCCTTCCTGGCAGACGTTATTCCCCACTCTCTCTCTCTCTCTCTCTCTCCCTCCCTCCCCACTTAGGGCATTATGGTTTGCAATACAGACACTGAGAGGTTATCATGTTTCATCCTTTATCTACTTTCAGCACACACACCTCCCATCTTGACCAGTTCCTCAAGCCATCCTTTTCTTAGTGATCCCTTCTCTATTCCAGCTGCTTCTCCCCTTTGCTCATGAGGCAGGCTTCCAGCTATGGAGAGCAGTCTTCCTGTCCCAAGTATCTACTATCCTTAGGTGTCAGCCTCATGTTGTTTTAACTCCACAGCCTCATAGTTTTCTTTCCTCTAATGGTGTTTCATGTACTCCACTGGATCAAGTCTTGAGTAGGTATGCAGGACACATGTTTCCTCGGGAGAGGCAGTTTCCCAGTTGTAAGGTGGCAGGCCTGTATGCTAGTGGTGATCTCATTACACAAGTTCATTCCCCTGCCTTCTACTGCTTGAAGTAGCATCTTTATGTTCTCTCTTATTCTGATACCTAGGCATGATCAGAAACCATGTTTGATCCTTAATCAGTCTAGTTCCTTAAAAATAACTGCTCAGCTCCTGGCATTATATAATAGGGTAAGAAAATGCTCTACAAGTACATGGGGACTTTCTATTGGAATGTACTGTTAACTTTTACCATAGGAAAATGGCTTATAAATTAACAGTTGTCAAGCTCAAGATTCTATTCTGCTTTATAAATTAAATCTTGCCAGTTTTTCTTCACATACTCATGGTTGTTAAATTGCACAATGCGTTTAAGAACTTGGAAGATGTTAATGAATTACTCCAGTTATTAATGAAAACCTCTAGTGATTTTACAGCTTGCAGGTGAACAGAACTAACATTAACAGTGTATTCAGATATTTAGTGCCCAAGGGCTCAAAGGCCGAAAACACAAGCATATTGGAAACCAGGTTAACCCAGCAGTGTTAGGTGTGACCTCATCCTCTACACTTCCATAATCCTCAGTGAAGGCCTAACCTTTTTAATGTAGGGTTGGAGCGATAGCACAGCAGATAGGGCGTTTGCAGGTGGCCGGCCTGTGTTTGATTCCTCAGCCCCTCTCGGAGAGCCCAGCAAGCTACCGAGAGTATTCTGCCCACATGGCAAAGCATGTCAAGCTACCCATGACGTATTCCGATACGCCAAAAACAGTAACAAGTGTCACAATTTGTTTGAGACATTACTGGTGCCCGCTCGAGAAAGTCGATGAACAATGGGAGGACAGTGCTACAGTGCTATAGTTTTGAGAAAAGATACCAGGCGCCCCCCCCCAACCCTGGTGATGTGAGACTGTTTATAGCTTCAGCTTTGATGGACTTGTCTCAGACAAGGAATGACAAGTTCAAATGGGAAAGGGCTTTTTTCCCTCCTTAGTGCTTATTAGGGGACATAGAAGTAAATACTGATGAAAGTATTTTTTAAGTCATCAATTAAAATGAAAAACATTGGTATTTAAAAAAACATGGCTAGGGAAAACAGGGGTTAGGAGGCCTGGTTATTGGTTGGAACCAACTACAAGTGTGTGTGGGGTTGAGGGTAGGTAAGATAGAGAAGAGACCAGAGACAGTAATAGCTAGGAATGATCACACTGGAGAAGATCTGAGGGTTAAAAGTAGGTAAGGGATATTCTTGATAACCGTTCAATATCAATATTGCAAATCACAATGCCCAAAGGGGGGGGGGGCATAGGAAAGAGAGAGAAAGAGAAAAGCACCTACCATAGAGGCAGGTGGGGGTGGGGGGGTGATGGGAGGGAACCTGGGGGAAAATGTGCACTGGTGGAGGGGTGGGTGTTGGAATACTGTGTGACTAAAATCCAATCATGAACAGCTTTGTAATGTCTATCTCAGTGATTCAATAAGTTTAAAAAATAGTAAAAAATAAAATTATATAAAAGTGAAATATAAAAATAAAATACCATTATCCTTTCTCTGATTGCATTCTTTTCACAGGATGTCCTTGAATAGGTGCAGTATGTCTAAGCCAGTTATTACTGCCTAAGAGACTGTATTCTAGAACCTGATTTGTGTATCTTTCTTGGTCCTGACTCAGAGTTGCTGGGCTCTGCCAGGGGCATTTTTTTTTTTACTTGCCTACATTAAGGCCAAGTATTAGTACATTATAATAAGTCACGATTTATAAATCCATGATTCTTAGCCTTCACTAATAGTGAAGAAGAATTTGTGTCTATAATCGTCCTAATACCTTGCACCCAATTGTTCAACTTCACTAGCCCTTTGCTGCACAGGAAATCTTTCAGAGTATTATTAGTTAATCATTCTATGTTCTCATGCCTTGCTGGTAACAAAAATTCTGCTCTTCCAAATTTTTTGCCATTTTACAAATGATTTGTTATTTTTCTTTTCAGGTAGCATAATTCGTTGTATGAGGCGCCTAGAAGAACTTCTTCGACAGATGTGTCAAGCTGCAAAAGCTATTGGGAACACTGAACTGGAAAATAAATTTGCAGAAGGTCAGCATCTAGTCTATAAAATGTTCCATCTTACTGGTCTTCTAACAGTCTAGACAAAGACTATGACAACTATAATTCCTATCGAGTATCCTAAAGAGGTTTGAAAAAATTGTCATATATATTCATATTAATGATACAGACAAACCTATTAGTGAAGATTATCTAGGTTACATAATGTTTTCAAGTGAAAAAATTTCACAAAGAAAATTTTAACTATTTTCTTTTCTCTTAGGAATCACCAAAATCAAGAGAGATATTGTGTTTGCTGCCAGCCTCTACTTGTAAAGAGTGACCTGAAGAAAATTTAAATTGTTTACCACCTGTCCGATTATTATCATCTGCAAACACGAGTATTGATTTCGTTGTTTCAAGACAATTTTCCTCAAATATTTTTTTCCTCAAATATTTTAATATGTATTATATTTAAATCAAGCTTCATTCCAAGAAAGCATATTACATATACATTTGTACATAAGCATTACATTTTTTAATAAAAAAATGTACAGGTGGGCGTTATTTTAGTGAAAGGCTTGACTTTTTTTTTTTAATAATCTGGGAGCTATTAGATAACTGTTGTGTTAAATGTAACTATATACACACAGGTAAAGTGGGCATCCAAGGAGGTATAGCAGCAGCAGTTCCTTTAAGGCTTATACACCAGGATGAAAATGCATCTTCTTTGTCTTCTGGCTGTGATCATTTCCTTTACAAACAGGCCAGCTTCGTTTGGGCACTCTGCCACCTTCAAGGCTGGTTACTGTTCCCGTAGTGATTGCCTGCTCTTGTTGTATCATGCAGAGATGTATGAGAGGTCTCCTCTTTAAAAGGAGAATTTCTCTGCTTGAAGAAATCTGATACATATACAACCTGTATGGGACAGTTTAGATAACAATTCAGACAAGTTTTAAAAACACATGAAGTTATAATAAGAAATCTGCAAAGATAAATAAATGAAAGCTTATGCACTCATGGGTTTACAGGTTGAAAGTGCAAAAAATTAATGGCTTAATGAGAATCTTCCAAATTAAGAATAAAGACTTTCGGACTATCTTTAGTCTGCCAGCAGTAATAAAACAAACCTTGTTTAAAGCCAGAGCTTTTTACAATAAAAATGTAAGATTTACTTTATTCTTCCAAAGAGTAAAACACCTAGTTTCCACTGTTGTCTATCCTAAATTGTTTAACAACATTGGATTGGTGTTTTACTCATTAACAACGGAGCCACATTCTTGGCCTCTGTGTAATTTTCTCGCTGGGACATTTTAGAAAACATTTAACCAGGTGTTTATCAGTAACAAGAAGTAGGCTACACTGCCTTGTATACTTACAACTAATACTGAAAACAGAGCTCCTTGTGTGAATCCCACCAGCACATCGCTCCAGTGGTGTTTGTAGTCAGAAACTCGAGAAAGGCCCACGTAAATAGCCATAGAAAAGAGACCAAATTGTAATGTAGGGCGTAAGAGTCTTGCCCAGTCTCCCTTCATCCTTGCTTGGAGATAAAGCTAGTGGAGAGGATAAAAGAAAAAGAGTTAAACATACCAGGTGGAAACTATGTGGGGAGGACCATACCTGGAAGTGCTCAGGGAGCATGTAGAAGGGATCAAACTGGGATTGGCAGTATGCAAGGCAAGCATCTTAGCCGCTGCATTCTCTCCAGCCCCATGAAGCTATGTTTTATATAAAGCTACATTTTATACTACTAAATGATGGGCTGGAACAGCGGGTAGGGTGTTTGCCTTGCACGCAGCCGAGCCTCGTTCGATTCCTCCACCCCTCTGAGAGCCCAGCAAGCTACCGAGTATCTCGCCCACATGGCAAAGCCTGGCAAGTTAACTGTGACCTTCACCCTTATAAAATAGCTAGTTTTTTTCCTTACACCTGCACTCACGTATAGGTACTACCCTGTTCTGTGTGAACCTGGCGATTGATTGCTCACCCTGGGGGTTCTGGGGGTTGGGATTCCCCCACTGATTATTTATGTAACTGGGCTTATGTTTCATTCCAAGATCTGGCTCTTCTGGTGACTAATGGTTAAGGTTTGAGTGCAGGCTGTGGTCACAAAACAACCCTCAGCTCTGGGTGAGGTTGATTAACTGAGAATACATTAACTAACACATAATTGAGCCAAATTGCACGTCCTGTTTTCCCAGGCCAGGGTACTCAAAAGTAGCTCTGTGATGATCAAGCATCACCCACAATCCTGTTCCTCCCCTGTAAAAATTTTTATTACTCCTTAAGGAGGTAAACACTTTCTCTTGGACTTGGGTCACTTGAGTCCCACATTCAACATACTCAGATGTCTGCACTTTGCCAGCCCCTCTCCCATGAGCCTTTCCAGTAACTCATGGTCATGTCTTTGTGGTCCCCCTGTGTCCCAGACCTTTCTTGGGTTCTATAGTAAAAATCTTACTTTTAATCTCCTGCCCTTTGGAACCACGACAGATTAGGCTTCCTCTTACCAATATTGTTAACCGCTGACTCAAATCATGGCCTTTTCCCTATAGTCTCCCTTTCTGTTCTTTGACTTTGTGATTTCTAAGTTTCTTTTCCAATTCCATTATTTGTAAAGGAACATACGCTTTCCTGTTGTAAAGGACAAAATCTCCATTCCTCTAACATGTATATCTCACCCCTATTTTCCCGACATAGACACAATACATATTGTATGTATGGTGCCACAGATCAAACTAACACTACCACATGCAAAGCAGTTGCTCCTTTTTTTGTTGTTGGCTTTTTGGGTCACTCCTGGTGGTGCTCAGGGGACCATAGGGATGCTGGGAATTGAAATCAGGTTGGCTGCATGCAAGGCAAACGCCCTACCTGCTGTACTGTCGCTCCAGCCCCAAGGCAATTGCTCTTTAAATGCCAGATCTGATCGATAAAAGGCCTTACAGATCTGCCTTTGCAAACTCTACTCCTCCTGCCCCAAATGTGTATTGTAATCACTGGGCACTGAACATACTATATTCTATTCCCATTGTGTATTGTGTGAGATAGGCTCAACAGTATGTCAGCAGTTTTCCAATTCCTCTTCCAGACAGACACATCTGAAGGATGGCAATCCTATTGGACCATAGAGACGCCCTCAGTCTTCTGGAAGAAGTACTATCTAGAGATGACTTAGAACAAGCCTGAATAGGTTCTATTCTGTGAGATGTATATGAGAATTTGAAGGGTTCAGAAGGATTACAAAAATAGGTTACTTGCAAACTGAAGTTATGAGGGAGCAAAAACCAGGGTTAGACTAGAATAGAAAGCCATTGAAAAGAATACAGCAGAGTGAGTGGCAACCACACTGAAAACTCAGGTGGCCAATCAGAAAGTCCAAGCCCCAGGGCAGTGCTTTTTGAAGTCTATGTGAGTTAACTGCTTACAACCCAAAGATCAAAAGACCAGTTAACAGCTTCTTGTATCTAATCAAAATCCTGCTATGATTTTACTGGGTCTTCATTAAGAGTTTCACATCACTGGGTACAAAATTGGCACTATTAAAAGAGAATTGTGGCACTGAGCCCAGGACTTCTATGGCTTTTGTCTACAGAGAGTTACAAGTGTGTGAGCCCATAAGCCAAATGGCTTGCCCCTGTATGTTGGTCATACTCTCCTCGTGCCCATTCTAAGATTCTCTGAGATTTTCCATGCCCACATTTCATCTGGCCTCAGTGAGTCATCCAGTGGGTATTTCAGTATGTGTGTGGGGGTAGGGTAGGGGGTCCTGCATGTTGCAAGTCTTTAAGCTCTAGAGCCTCCCAGTCCTTCCTGGTAAAGAAGGCTCATAGCAAGAAATAAGAGAAATAGTGGGAAAAACTGAACAGAAGCAGAGTTTTTCACTGAGATGCTTCCTACAGGGAAGACATCACACTGATGCCACAGTTCCATGAAGCCCCAGTGGAGGACAGCCAAGGGAAGAAGGAAAAACATGCAGGCTCCAATTGCGGTAAAGAGGGTTTTAGAAGTAGGGCAATCCAGAAAACTCAGGTCAGCAGAGAACACTTTTGGTTGAGGGAAAGGGGTAGGAAGGGGCCTAAAGTTCAGGGAGCTACACTAATGGCAGTTTACAGTGTTGACTGGAATTGGGTCAACCTAGCAGCATTCAGGGGGCCTTGTAGTGCCAGAGATGGGATGCAGGGCTCTTCTATGCAAGTCTTGTGTTCTACCACTTGAGCTATCTCCTCACCCCCATCTGATGCCTGAGTTTTGAAGAAAGTTCACAGATGGGGGAGAATTTTTGAAGAATGAATGTTTTTCTTTTAGTCAGGTCAGCTTTCATGTTAATAGCCTCTACATTTTAAAGGTTTTCAAAAAAAACATGAGACTCAGACTGTATGTGACCTACAAAGCCTAAATTTAATTTGACCTTTTACTGAAATAAATTGCAAACTCCTGGAGTAGTAGTGTGTGCTCAACACACACACACACACACACACACACAGTCTGATTCTGAAACTGCTCAACACACACACATACAGAAGCGCACACACACACATACAGAAGCGCGCACACAACACACACCCCTACTGATTCTGAAACACTGTTTCTAAGATCCATTCAGGCAAACATACTGTACCATCTTCATCTGATGACAGTCAGGAAGGAAAACACTGGAAGATAGACCTCCATTTTTCCTCTTGGCTTCAATATTAACACTTTTAGGATTCATAAGGTTCCTGAATTTAGATACCATATCCCACCTAAAGCTGAGGCAGGATTCATATTGTTGATGTGCTGTGATTTGTTCATTTATTCAGCATTGAACCACACTTTGGAAATACCATTATAATGTATCCTGAAGATAGATGCTTGCTAGGTAGAAAATAGTCAATGCCCGATGAGGGGCTATAGGAATCTTGGTGAAAGGATGTGGTATAAGAATGTTAGATTTAAATTGACGGCAGCACTACACAAAGGAGTAAGGCCCAGTTTACTGTGCAATTTTCAAACAGGACAGTTGAGCAGTGAGCAGTGCTGGAGGAGATATTGTTATTTTTTTTCTCTTAAAAAGGGAAGCTCATACCATGGCTCTTTTAAGAGATATTTTTAAATAGTTAATTTCTGGATGTCAGGAATTCTTGATAGGAAGTTTTGAAAGATCTCAAATAACCTGCAAAGATTTAAATAATTATACTGCCCCATACCAATCTGAACTTGACCCATAATGCCAGGGATACCCAGGAAAATAAGATGAGTCAGCACATGAGGAATTTAAGGAGGGCGGGTAGTACTGGTTAAGTGTCCATAAATGAAAGCTGGCAAGCACGAAGACATCTGAGTATTCAGGGCTGAAATAAAAGCTGTGGCCTACAGCAAGTAAATATTTCCACTGCTTACAGCCTGGGATACACAGTACATGACTGTTCTGGCCTACTTCTCAAGAAAAGCAGTTTCCAAACTGCTCTTTGGTCTAGACAAATCTGTTTATCTGTATTTTTTCCCTATTATAACTTTACATCTAAATGATCTAACTGATTCTATTACCAAACTACAGTCAAGGTGACTTGCCATTTCTCCGGCCTCAAGTGGCCACAGGTATGACCCAGAGTAAGGGTGCACATCAAACAGACTCCAGAAGCAATGTCAAGGAAAAAAAGCCGCCTCCCCCGCCTCCCAACCTACTAAAGAGCCCCTATTATAGTTCTAAAAGTTCTCAATTTGCAGCTTGCAAATTACTATGTGCCTGTTTGCTACCTATAAACAAAGGCTTAAAGAAATAAAACCTTTAATTGACTTTTGCGAAAGCATAGACATTTATTCCTCTTCTGAATTTACTGGAGTCCACTTAATTGAGAAGCTGAGAGAATGTTGGAGGTAAGCTTATAAGAGAGTAAAGGCTAAATTAATGTAAGAAATGTGCACCCCATGATGTAACTCTACCCTTCTCCCTTTCCACAGCCCCCCCCCACCCCCCCAATCAACAGACACAGAGTACTTACTGCCAGGAACAGCATGCAGTACATGGAGAAGGAAGAATGCCCGGAGTAAAAGGACAATCTGAAAGACAAAAATTCATTTTCTCATCTGTAGGCCAAGAACATTAAACCTTACTTGCCCTGTGCACACAGCCGCCTCCCCTAATTTGAGTACAGGGGTGGCAGTGGTAGGGGAGTGTTGGGAAAGGAACAGCACAGTCCTAGGAGGGTCTGAGATTTGATTCCATCATGTCATTTTTATTAAAATTTCCAGGACAGGTAAATGAGTCATAGAGCACAAGCTTGCTGAACATTTCTAAAGTCATAACTGGCACTGAATGCCTGACTTCATTAAATATAAACTTCTATTATCATAATTGGACCTTTATTTTCCACTTGCAGGGTCTGGACCTTACAGTTAGTACGTCCTTTGGAAACCAAATAGTTACCTTTTTGTAAGTAAAGTATCTTTTTTAAAAATTTCAGTGGACGTGCCAGAGATACCAGAGTGAGTAGGGCACTTGCCTTGCACACAGTCAACCAGAATTCAATCCCTGGCACCCCGGATGGTCTCCCAAGCCCTTCCAGGAGTGATCCCTGAGCAAAGAACCAGAAGTAAGCTCTAAGCACCACCAAATATGACCCACAAACTGGACATGTGAGTTGGGCACACATCTTGCCTTAAATATCCCACCAAATTAATGGCTTTTGACATTTCATTATAAACTGTACTTAAGTTTATGAGATCAATCCTTTCTTTGAATATTATAGTCTATAAACATCTGATCTTCACCTACAACTGATGAAATGGTTATCAAAGCTTAATTTTATGGACTTTGAAAAAAATCATTACATTCAGGTTCTGGGCGGAGTGACAGCACAGCGGGTAGGCGTTTGCCTTGCACACAGCCAACCTGGGTTCAATTCCTCGGTCCCTCTCGGAGAGCCCGCAAGCTACCAAGAGTATCCAGCCCACAGAGCCTGGCAAGCTGCCTGTGGTGATATGCCAAAAACAGTAACAATAAGTCTCACAACGGATACATTATTGGTGCCCTCTTGAGCAAATCAATGAGGTCAGTGCTACAGTGCTACATTCAGGTTCTAAGTTCAGCTTACATTAGTCACTGGTGTAGAAAAGGAAGTTTGAGACAATAAAAATATACCATGCAAATAATTAAAATGCTTTCCACAAAACAATGAGAGGAAGGCTCTAGAATAATTTGTTATGCCCTGCCTGGTTCAAAAGGAAATAATCTCTGAGGATCAGAAAAATATTACTAAACTACATCTCAGAAGGCTTTTGTTTATGTTTGCAATTGAGAATCAGTGGAGGAGAGGTTGTTTGGGGGGGTCACACCCGGGGATGCTTGGGTGCTCCCAATTTAATGCTGAGACATCGGGGGTCACTCTGAGCTTGGGATCATGTGGTGCCAGGAACCAAACGCAGGGCTCCTACATAGAAAGCACAAGCTCTGGGGCTGAAGAGATAGCACAGCAGGTAGAGTGTTTGCCTTGCACGCGGCCGACCCGGGTTCGATTCGCAGCATCCCATATGGTCCCCTTAGCACCGCCAGGAGTAACTCCTGAGTGCAGAGCCAGGAGTAACCCCTGTGCATCGCCAGGTGTGACCCAAATAGCAAAAAGCAAATAAAAAGCACAAGCTCTGGCCCTTAATGCTCTCAGCCTTGAGAGTAGAGGTTGCTGCTTCTTTTGTCACGCTGGGAGAAGCTCAGGAGACTAATCCATCCATCCCTGTAGTGGCTTGGCTTGGGTTGGGGGTCCCCCCGGGCAGTACGTGGGAGGGGCATGCAGGGACGGAGAAGGAAGCTGGGCCGCCTCCATGCTAAGCATAAGAGATTTCTGAGGTACATATTGATGATTCTGCCAAGATTTAGGGCGGGCTTTTTTGTTAGTTAGATAACTTCCTAATAAGATTAATATTCTATATCTTCCTGTGCCATCTAGGAATTATGTAATTAAAACTGCTAATCATTCTGGGTTTAAATTTTGTAAAACAAAAAATCACTTTAACAATTTGCTGTGACCAACAGAGTGATACAAATCTCGATTTGAATTAGATAATTAGAATAGACTGTGGTCACCGTGCATTTATACGGGTAGTTTATTTTATATTGAATGTTCTACAAGTAAAAACAGAAGGCACTTTACTTTTAAGGACTGTCAAATTCCATCAAGCCCTTATGTTCACAGAAATATTCACAAAGCAAAGCAAATTTTCTCTAAAGCTTCATGTTCAGAGTATTTACATTGTGCCATAAAATCACAAATTCCAAGCTCATAATAATGATGAGGCTGAAAACCACACCTTGCACGCACCCTACTCCTATTCCATCTCAGGCACCGGTGATCCCCTGAGTACCACTGGGTGTGGCACTGGGGGTCCCCAAGCACTGCGAGGGTGTTCCACACACTGCTGGGTGAGCTAGAGTCTACACACTGCATCCTCAGGCTCTTGCACTGAATCGCACGCCTGGCTGGCTGGCACACACCAGAAGCGGCCCCCTGGACCTTCTCGGCACTGCTTCGTATGTTGTACCCCATTGCTTCTCTCTGATAATAGTTTTGAACAGCTCTGATTTAGTCATAAGGCAATTTCTTAGTTAAAATCATTTAAAAGAATTTCAAATTTTCAAGCTAAGTAAGATCCCAGGACACTCCTTCAGTGCTTGGAACTTCCAGGCTGTACCCGTCGCCACTCAGGGAACTGTGTGCTGCCAGGGAATGCACAGGTTGGCTTTGTGCAAGTTAACCCTGGCACTTTCTCTCTAGACTCCACTCTTCATATTTTAAATATCACAAACAAACCCATTTTCCCCGCTCCTCCATGCATTGTGATTAGGATACTGTCCTAGTAGCTTCACAAGAACACAGTTTGTGAAGTGCATAAATTAACTGAACATGTTATCTTTCCATAAAAATGTGTATAATTAAATACAACGCCAATAAATGATAGCAAGCCACATGAGACGAAGTATGATTTTAACACTTTACCCTCTGATGTGATCCCTCTGAAAAAAAGAAAAAATAAGGTCACAACTATAGGGCTAGAGTGCATGCTTTGCACACTCAAGGCCCAGGAGTCAGTCCCTGACACTGCGTGGCCTCCCAGGCACCACTTGTGGGGGTCCTGAGCAGCAGCATCACATCGCTGCGTCTTAGCAATGAATCACGGTCCTCCCGTTGATCATCGATTTGCTCGAGCGGGCCCAGTAACGTCTCCATTTTGAGACTTGTTGTTACTGCGTCTGGCATATCGAATACGTCACAGGCAGCTTGCCAGGCTCTGCCCTGCGGGCGAGATACTCTCAGTAGCTTGCCGGCCTCTCCGAGAGGGGCAGAGGAATCGAACTCGGGTCGGCCATGTTGACCGCTTGTAAGGCAAACGCCCTGTGCTATCGCTCCAGCCCAACAATGAATCATTCAACCAAATTGGCTGAGTCACTGTGAGTAGGGCCCACGATCCCTGAGAACTGCTTGGGAACATATGTGCATACACATGCACCTTTCATATTTATTTATTTTATTTTTTACTTTTGCTTTTTGGGTCACACCCGGCGATGCACAGAGGTTTACTCTTGGCTCATGCACTCAGGAATTACTCCTGGGGTGCTCGGGGGACCAGATGGGATGCTGGGAATCGAACCCGGGTCAGCCGCGAGCAAGGCAAACGCCCTACCCGCTGTGCTATTGCTTCAGCCCCACACCTTTTATATTTAAACAAACCCATTATTGAAGAACTGAAGAATAAGGTTCTACCCAAACTCAACACTTACTATAAAGCTACAGTCATTAAGACAGCTTAGTACTGGTGAAAGAAAAAATAAATCATTGAAACAGTGTAAAAATACACCCTTGTAGGGGCTGGAGCGATAGCACAGCGGGTAGGGCGTCTGCCTTGCACGCAGCCAACATGGCCGACCCAGGTTCGATTCCCAGCATCCCATATGGTCCCCCGAGCACCGCCAGGAGTAACTCCTGAGTGCATGAGCCAGGAGTAACCCCTGAGCATCGCCGGGTGTGACCCAAAAAGCAAAGAAAACATTTGTGCTCCTTACAGGCTGTCAGCAGAATCCTTACCAGCCTATTTCCTGAAGCATTGGCACCTTTACCTTTCTTGCCAGGACCTTGCCATACAACTCCAGCAAAACTCCTCTATCATCTCCAAAATAAAGTTGTCAAATTGTTTTCTCCACTTTTAAATCTGGGTCCAATCATCATTACTGTCCATCTGGAATAGCACCATATTCTCTCAACCAGTCTTATTTCATTTCCAATGGCATACCATTCACAATCCAAGCTCTTTAATATATGACTTGTATACCTTAAGCCTTCAACCTATCTACCACTGGCAGTGCTATTTCCTGGATCAAGAGCATGTTCTATCCCTATTCTACAGGTTCAAACCACTCATTTCCTAAAATGCTTCCTGTCAATGTATTACCATACTCTAGATTCCTGTAGAAGTTAATCTTCACTCCTTAAAAAAATGCATCACATTCTTGTCACTCATAAAATATGCAGATCTTAGCGCCTATGCAGTGAAAATCACAAGAGCAGTATTGTGGTACTCACTTTGTCAGCCCCTCATACTGACTAGATCTTAAGAATAGTAAGTATTACCTGTATTTAGTAATTTCATGAAATGGGTTGAAACAGTTTTCAGATCATCAGCCACAATATCGTCTAGGGAATTTTTCAATAAGCAAATCCTTCGATGCCCACCACAGAATCAATGAATCAGAAACTCTGTGGGGGGGTAGGGTCTGATCCAGTAATATTTTGTTTGAAACTTTTATTTAAACACCGTGATTTACAAAGTTGTTCATAATACGGTTTCAGGCATTCAATGTTCCAACACCAATCCCACAACCAGTGTGACCTTACCTCCACCAGTCTCCAGTTTCCCAGCCCCCTGAGCAAACAAATTTACTTTATACTGCTTGTTACAAAAAAAAAATGGCAGATGGAATTATAAGAAAAAAAGATCAGTAAATGAAAATTTGTGAAAACTGTTATGCTGTAAAATTACATTACTCCATGAAATGGTGTTATGAAAGTTGT